TCTCTCTCTCTCTCTCTGTCTCAAAATAAATACACTTAGAAAAAAGCATTCGGGGCCACCCTACGGAAAGTCCCTATCCTTAGTTGCCAAGCTGCCCTTGGGAGCTGGCCTCTAGATGCCCAACGTCTCTCCCCTTCTAGATTCTTTTTCTTCCCCTTCTAGATTCTTGTACTTCATTCTCCATTGGATTCCCTTTTGCTCACCTATTCCAATTTTTCTTGGAGTTGTTTTGCTAAATCAGGAATTTTTATTTTAATAAAACCTCCAAGGTAATCAAACAATTGATATTTTCAAAGTAGATCACTCTGAAAGGTCGCTAATTTTAGACAGGCAGCTACCGATGATAGACCTCAGAATAATTTCTCCCTTCTAATAAGGAAACCAGAAGTTCGCTGGTGGATGGACAAGCAGGATGCAGAATTTCCATTCCCAACCAAGGTCATGTGAAATGGTTTCTTGGCAAATATCCTTTTGTTTCTTTTGCTTGCCTGTATCCTAAGCGGAGAAGGGAGGCCGGCCAAATACCAACTTGAACAGTCTGTAGAGTTGCCAGTCCCCAGAGAAGGCCTGGGTTCTCATTAGCAAAGAGATACGAGAGCCTATTTTGCAATGAAATAGCTCACACAGGGCTCCAATCCTGAATAATTATCCACACTAGTGTAGGCTCTAGAATGGGAGGCCTTGAGGGGGCCAAACCCTTGCATATTGTAATTTGATATTTATGATGTTCTATCGCCATCTCCTGGAAGGAAAGACCAAGAACACACAAAAAGGATATCAGGCTTCCGGGAAGAGAATTTTCTTCACTTCTCAAGAAAGGTGAAGACCCTGCAGTCACTGAAGAGACATACTTACATCACGTTCCAGGTGAATTAGCATAATGTTGGGCAACCAAGAAAGCTAAGAGGCAAATGTTCAGAACGCCAGCGTCTGTTATTTGAGAGCGAGAGATAACATCAAGCCTATGAGTGGTGAGTCTTTCCAGTTGCCAGTCCCCAGAGAAGGTCTGCATTCTCATTAGTAAAGAGATACGAGATCCCATTTTGCAAGAGTCAATTGCACTCCAGGAGCACAAAGAGATACCGAAGGAAGGATTTCCATGCTTGGCATCGAAAGTAATCATCCTTATCTTTGCTTTTTAAGTCTCAGAATTTGGCAAAACCGTGCCAAGGATTTTAAAACATTATGAATGTTTTAAGAATTTTTCCAGATTAACTCTTCTTCCCAGGCTAGCTGGTGTTGGAGTTATGCACACATTTGGCACAAATACAGCCGAATGAATTGAAATGCTTGACTCACTCTGCACAAGATCCCATCAGTCTTCATATCTCAAGGTTTAGCTTACATATCAACAAAGGCTCATAGTGTAACTCTTTAAAATATTGTTTTAAAACACAATTTTATTTTGGTCACCATGTCTTCTCCATCAATATCCTCATGCGGGGGGGGGGGGGGGAAAAAAATCATAAAACTGTAGAATAAGAAGTATTTTAGTCCAACCACTTCATAGTCCCAAATCCAAGCTTCAGTCACACAAAGAGGGGGACTCTAAGGCTAATTCTCATGAGTCATCTGTTCTCCCTGAAACTGTTCTCCCATTCTGCCCCACCATCCTGACTTTGGGGGAGTTTTACAGCTTATACAACTCACCAGCATCCTGAAGTAGCCAGGAATTGTTGACTTCTTTTCTGAATATACATTATGCTTATTCACAAAGCACAGAATATGAAACAGGTTTCAGATTTTAGAATTGGAAGGGACCTCTCCTTCATAACCGATAAAAGTGATTTGTTGGTGATACCTGATGGCCTATTTTGAAAGATGGCAGGTTTGAACATGGCATTGAAATATGTCAGGCCTTTTTTTTTTTTTTTTTTTTTTTAATTCAACTTTTCCTGAGGGCTTGCCCTGTAAAAAGCACTGTGAGGAACCTCTAGAAGATTTATTTCTATTCCCCAAAAGTTGACTATGTTGTCTGAATTGGGCTTCCCAAGCAACCCATAAACTGAAAGGAAAAGTGTGGTGGTCCGTTAGAAAAGTGGATACAAAGAAGCCTCATCCTTTCCTGGGTTCTGTCTCTTTACAGTGTATCTCATGACACATGATACTCAGGAGGGTTACTTGACAGTCAGTCACCACCTCGGAACTCTTTCCAAAGCTGCTGGCCAGAAAGAGAATTACCCTTTGTTACTGGTAAATTTCTTACGGCAGGAACTCTGCCCACACACCCTCAACAACAGTTCAGCATCCCAGCCTCGCATTCAATCCACCTTTGGGGTCAGAAGTGCAATGTTGATAAGTATCCAAAAAATCGAAGTGCTTCACTGGCACACAACCAAATTCTTGGAATCTTTACAGTCCGTCCTGTCCTCCTCTTTTTTTTCCTTTTCCTCTCTCACGATGAAATCAGGGTTGCCTCGACAATCGAGCAGTTTTGGGTAAACTTCCCGTTCATCTTTCAGCTATTTGCCAGCTGCATATTTGCAGAACATCATTGTGTTTAACGATAAATCCATGGAAGTCAGACATGTGACCAAGACATACAAGGTTTTGATGCAATCGAGTTGGCGATTATCTTTCAACTTCCTGCATCCTGTCCTCAAAATGAGACAGCCATGTGCTAACCTGACAGTAAGACTACATAAAAGTAAACTGAGAGGCTGGCTGCCTTCATCAAATTCATTTCAAATATATATCTACAAATATATTTCACAAATATATCTAAATTGCCATGGATCCTTTCCCTGTAGATTTCACCAGTCTCTCATGGGTTGAGTTTAGACAATTTCTCATCTTCCAGTCTCTCGCCACGAGCTCAACTAGTAGCACACAGAACTACTTAGAAGTTTCTCGAAATGTGCCAGGTTCCCTCGGGTCTCTGTGCTTCACCTACGCTCTCGCTTCTTTCTGCCTCTAATAAAGTCCCCCTTGACCTCTAGATAATGCCTATTTGTTCTTTAAACTGCAGCTCAGAAGTTGCTTTCCCTTTATCTCCTCCAGGGAGTCTGGAGTCATTCACCTCCACGCTCCTACAAGACCCTGTTTATACCTCCATCGTGGTGCCATTGCAAACCAGTAAAGTTGTTTGTTTTCCCCTCCTGCCACCCATGCGTAAGGACTAAGCATTGACTACCTTAGCACTCAGGACTGTGTCTAACACACAGCAAGCAAGTTGCAGATGTTTGCATGGACACTATGGACAGCCTGCCAGTTCACACAGGCAGGAAGACACGACCACTTACTTTCTTCCTTCTCCCTCTTACCATCTATTTGGTGTTCTAGACAGTCCCATTTCCCCATCAGCCAAAGTTTTGGACCCACAGGAGTAAACCTTTCGTGGAAGTGGTTATAACTTCTTAGCTTTTCCAGGCTTCCCTGGAGAACCACTACGTCTCTCTGAAGTCCAACAATGAATGGGCCACCCATGCCCATGTGACTAGCCCCTCTAATATGCAGGCACATAGCACCATGCCAGGCATGCCATGACACTTGGGTATTATGCAAATCTGATTTTTTTTAGCCATGGACTCAGAACAGACATCAGAACTTTCCCTCTTCTCCCAGCTCAACTCGCTCAAAATCTAGGCTTCATTATTTCTTTCTCCTAAAGTCAACTTTGTTATAAAGGGAGTTCTGTTTCCAGTGTAGAAATTAACTAATCGGTCCAGACTTAAAATTTCTCACCGACTCTATAAAGGCACCGTTACTAAATCCAGAGAAGGAGGATATTCGGGCAGATCTCTTAACTTCTGAAGAGCCTGTGACCAAGGGAAACCACAGCTCCCCAAATTAACAGGCTTTGGTGTCAATGTCAGAAAATTCCAGGCTTGCTAGAAAACAGACTTGACATATAGTTTCCAATATTATTTACGATCTCAATATTCCAGATTATGAACTGTCAGCTTACTCCTTTCACCAATTTCGATGATCTGCGGAGACTTGAGATACATAAAGGTCAGAATGCCCATATTTTATAATGTCAGTTTTTCGGTCTACTCATCACTAACACTTTGTTCAAATATCCCCTTTCAGGAAAGCCTTTTTTTTTTTTTTTTAAGTCTCCAAGTAATTATTTTGCTTTCAATAGTACACTTTTGCCATGCTATAATAATAGAGTAATATTTTATTTTAAAAAAATTTTTTTTAACGTTTATTTATTTTTGGGGGACAGAGAGAGACAGAGCATGAACGGGGGAGGGGCAGAGAGAGAGGGAGACACAGAATCGGAAACAGGCTCCAGGCTCCGAGCCATCAGCCCAGAGCCTGACGCGGGGCTGGAACTCACGGACCGCGAGATCGTGACCTGGCTGAAGTCGGACGCCCAACCGACTGGGCCACCCAGGCGCCCCTAGAGTAATATTTTAATACTGACCTATAGTATGTGTCCCTGCCCCCCTTCCCACCCCCCC